CAGAAAAATTAACTTTTGTATGGTGTCACAATGATATCACAGACATCACTATTTTGTTACAAGGAAGAAAGTACAATAAAACATTGGGCCATTATCATCTTAATCTAATGGTCAATATTGAAATCACAAATGGCAGAGCAGGCAAGGGACATGTGACTTCTTGTGTGTGCAATATAAAGCACATATCACCCATGATACATTGTCAAATTTTACATTTATTTACTGAATCAAGACTTTAGCTCTAATGCCAGGCTCCAGGAAGCACTGGGAGTAGCATGTTGAGTTGAATGCACACTGAAGAGGCAGTTGGGAGTCTGAAGGTGGGGTATCTTACAATGCACACATGTACACAAAACGTTAGCTTCTCTAGTTCTCGTCTAACTGCATACTTCCTGACTTCTAAACGATCTCTATGCAATCTGAAAATGACTGCCCACCTCTCAGAAGAATAAGTTTACAGAGACTGAGCATATAATAACGGCATCCATGTCTATATAGAGACTCTGTCCATTGCATATGTCAATTTACTCAACCACTCATCCAACAAGGATGTGCTGAACTGTCTAGGCCAAGTGCTGAGCTTTTTTTTTTTAATTTAAAGTTTTTAAACAAATATAACAAAATGAAACATTAAATAAAGAAATAAAAGAGAGCAAGAGAAACAGAAGAAGACATGCAAGTGACTCCACATTCTCCCACTCAGTGCAGGGTTTCTCCTCTTGAGGGCCCAGCAAGCACCATCCACACCACCTAGGAGCCTGAGAGAAGTGTTTTGTCTCCAGCTGAATCCCAGACCTCCTGAATCTGAAATTCTGGGGGCACAGCCCAATAATCAGTGCTCTTCGGGTGATTCTGGTGCAGCTAAAGTTTTAAAAGCCACTGAGCTAGAATCAACACTGACATGAAAGTTGGGTGTGCTATTGCTTCTCTTGAACTTGATCTCAGACATGAGCATCTTGGGCTAAATGAGTGTCTAATGTTAAATGATTTGAGTTACCATCCAAACAGCTCCTAGAAGCAAAGCAACTGGGCCATTTGAGGTTCACCAACAACCACAATCTATTTCAACAAGGGTGCATAGACAGGCTGTGTCAGGGGTAAAGAAAGGAAACTCAGGACTCTCTGAGACTTCTATAGGATTCTCAAAGATCAATTTGCCATAGGGATTTTTCACCTCTCCCACTGACTTTCAGACTTAGCCATCATATGAGCTATTCCTCCTACCTTTTAAAAACAGCTCACAAAGAGTCCCAGTTAAAGACTTCAAATTTGGAAGCATGGGTGTTTATATGCTATGAAAAAAACAGTGAGGAAAGTTCTTGCCAGAGGAAAATCTCCCATCTAGAATCTCAAAGGCCTCAGGAACTTAGGGAACAGAGACAGCCTAATTCCCCTCGTAGGCCTCACCCAGCCACTCCAGCCACTCCAGCTCTACACCATCAGCTTCAACTGTTGCGACTTGGAGGGGAAAGAGAAAGGAATGTATGTGACTTGGTAGAAGGCAAGCAAGTTGGGAGAATTAACAGACATGAGCTTAAGTCTCTGCTGGCTCCCTCATGGCATATACTCATCCTTGCTTTCAAGAATGAAGCCTTTAGCTGGGTGTTTAAATGGGATTCTTTTGTGAGCTGTTTTTAAAGGTAAGTGGAATATCTCTTAAGATAGCTGGGTCTGAAAGTCAGTGGGAGAAGTGAAAAATCACTGAGGCAAAATGATCTTTGAGAAGCACTGGTTGAGCTCCGGGAGTCTTGCTAAAGAAAGGGAGGAGGGATTATATGAGCCAGGGGAGGTCATGAAGGGGAAACCCACAGAGACAGCTGACCTGAGCTCATGGGAGCTCATGGACTCTGGACCAACAGTTAGGACTCCATGCGACTGACCTAGGCCCTCTGCATGTGTGTGACAGTTGTGTAGCTTGGTCTCTTTGTAAGGCTCCCAGCAGTAAGATCAGGACCTGTCCCTGGCACTTAGATGGCTTTTGGGAACCTGTTCCTCATGCTGGGTTACCTTGCCCAGCCTTGACACAAGGGGAGGAGCTCAGTCCTACCTCAACTTGATGTGCCATGCTTTGTTCAAGCCCATGGGAGGCCTGCCCCTTTCTGAATGGAGACAGAGGAGGAGTGGAAGGGAATGGGGGAATGGGAAGCAGAAGGAGGGGAATCTGGACGGTGGGTGGGTGGGGTGGAGAACTTCAGTCGGAATGTAAAATAAATGAAAAAAATATTTAAATAAAATATTTTTAAAACAATATTTGAGAAGCCTACAGAAGTCTCAGAGAGCCAGGCATATCACTTAACCCCTAAGCCCAGCACCTTCCTATATAAAATTAGGATAACAGTACATCCTTCAAAGAATTGCTGGAGGGCAGAGAAAGTGCACTGAAAGTACCAAGTTCCTACTGTATAAGTGCCTAGTAAATGTGCCCTCTCTCCATCCCGTGTCACACTGACTCTAGGAGCCAGTACTCAAGACAGCATGAAGCTCTTCAGAGAATTATGGGACTTATTCTTACAATATCAAAAGTTCCTACTTTCTAAAGCACCTGGGTATTGGAGAGCTGGAAACAGGGTATGAAATGTCCTTTGAATTCCCAGCATCCTCCTGGCTCCTTCCCATCATCAGGAACATCAACTGCCACTACAGAACTGAGTTTTCAGTACCAAGTGGTCACACACACACACACACACACACACACACACACACACACACACACACACACACACACAC